TATTGATAACTTTGATTTATAAATATTATATATCAAAATGCGGAGTAGAACTTGCTGGGTAACTATAAGATACTTATGAAGATTATGTAATTTGCTTTTTCATAATCAATATTAATAATGACATTAATATTAAATAATATTAAATAATTAAAGGCAGCAAATGTTGAAAAAAAGACATTTCGATATGCGATGTTTGATCATCAGAAATTTGCAGGTGTTGAAGCACGCACACTACCTTGGATACTTTACAGTCATTCTCACATCTTCCTCATGTACACAGGTTAATCCCCCGATGATACGGTGATGCAACCGAATACCAGTGGGTCGCTTTGCCCTGGAGTTTACCGAGACTGCATCCCAGACCAGAGAAGGCTGCTGGCATGCTAGCCAAAAAGTTGCCTGTAACGATCCTATCTACTGCCTAAGAAGAATTTCTTGTATCAACTCGAAACTGCACTTTCTTTAACAGTTTTCTTTGAAGAGTCACAATGCTTGCTTCTGCCATAAGAAGTTTTCATCCCAGAAGAAGCTTGAGTGTTAATATGAAAGGTTTCAGAGCCTCTGGAGAGCTTGATTCTAAATAAGGTTTTATAGGGTAAGTTTTAAAAAGTTTTTTTTGAGTCCGTTTTTTGAAATTTGAATTTCATGTGCGCGTGGAATTAAAAATTAGCTAATCAGAAATTTTTAACTTTTGAAAAAAAAGAGTTGTTGGATATTTTTCCTTAGTATTAGAAATTTTTTAGCATTCAGGAGAAAATTTCCATTATTTATTCAGATCCTATTTCCAGCCCTGCTCACTACAGTTAATAGGCAAAAAAATTATTTGTTGAAAAGCTGGTGATATGATATTCATTTGGTTTGAATGTTTAATGCTATAAGTTTTTGCTTTTTTTTTCAATGAATTTATGGCTTTCAATTTATTATAATCCATTGTAAATTATTTTGTTAAAGAAATTAAATACAGTTTCAAAAGCCTCTATATAGATTCATTTATTGAAATATTAGATATAGTTAAACCGCACCTTCCTCTTAAATTAGTACAAAAGAATAAGAATATCTTCATCAGTCGGCCTTTCATTAACTTTGTCATCAACCTCATTCACTGATACGCTCATATCTTTGTGCTAAATATATATTTTCTGGTTGGGCCTGATTTGTTTTAATAAACCTAATTCACATTTTCGTAGTAATATAACATATACACATTTTTTGGAAGAAAAAGATAGCAGAGCAGTGGTGGCTGAGACTTTTTGACAGAGAGATTATTAATCGTGTAGAATTGGAAGAATAATAATTTTAATTATGTGGAATTGGTGGAATTTATTTTTTAATTAATAGTTTTAATTGATTTTTGTAGCATTAATGATTTTCGAAAAAAAATTTATTTATAGAACCTTTATTTACAGTACATAGTATTTAATTTGTTGCTCCGTTGCAATGCAAATAGTACTACTACAGTCAAAGCTCCCTATAACGAACCTCCGAGAAGTGAACTGCTCTCTATAACGAACTAAGATTTTTGTCCCGATTTTTTATTAATGAAATTTGCTCTATATAACGAACTTTATAGTTAAACTCTTTATTCCGTATAACGAACTGTCTTTGGGGGAACCAAATACAAATTTATATAATAAATAATGCTCTCTATAACGAACCCGTGCAACATAAACTTGTTTATTATTGAAAAAAAAAATTTAAAAAATTTATTCTTCTTCTTTTTACAATTATTATTTGTTATTGTTGTTATTATTGACAGAGAAAAGACTGGCCAACAAATTATATGTTTTCTAATTGATTATCTACACATACACATCACTTTTGTCAAATAAAATGAAGAATTCTTTCAACATTGTTTCCTAATAATAATAGTGATAATAATGATACTAATAATAATATGCCTGAAATAATTCTTTCTACTTCACCTGTATTACATAAAAATGCTTTGTTGTCGATAGAAAAAATCAAAAATTATACTTTTAACAACAAACAGACAAGTCACAATTAACTGATAATGAATTGAGATTAATAAAAGGAAAGTCAAAAATATATTTAATTCAAAAGAACGATTAAAAATTGATAATTATGTGAATAAAATTTAATTTTTCTATTTTATTTTCAAAAAGGATTGTTTTTTTATTTTTATTTTTAACGATGTAGTTGTATTATTATGTTTATTAAATTTATATTATCAATTACATTTATAAAATAACAGATAAAAAACATAAACAAATAATTACCCCCCATATCTGATTTATATCAGATTGGTTGGGCCGACTATTCACCTCCCTTTCTTTCCATGTGGCTGTTAGTCCATAATGGAATTTAACATTTAATATAAAGTAACCACACTTCCAAACAGAAAAGGGTTAAAAAGGATTGTTTTTATTTTATGAATGAATGCGATTCATAATATGCTCACGTGACCATAAATGAGATGATCGACAATTCTTTATATGTAGTGAATGCTCACCAAAATTCTCGGTCCAGGGGGGTTTGTTATAGAGAGTTTTGACTGTACTTATTTAAAACACAATTTAATATTAAAATGGGCCAAAGCAAAAATTTGTCGAAACAAAATAATTAACAAAAATATTAATTCAAACTGCAGTTTGAAATGTGTAAATCAAGCTGTACCAAG